TTAAACTTTATCTAATTTAACTTTTTTGTATTCATGTCTATGATAATAAAATCCTTTTGTTTAAACTTTATCTAATTTAACTTTATTTAACCAATTTCTAGAAAGTTGCATGTAGATCATTTTTCGAAAAATAAGGCCATAAACAAGTTTCACTTCTTACGTGTGTACACTAGTACACGCACACATTTTTTTTTAATTAAGTCTTTTTACTACAGTTGAATTTGAAAGTGGAAAAGAACGAAATCGAAATTTGAACGGGATTACATTTTAAAAAAATTTTAGAGATTTTTTTGATACGAATAAATCAGTCTGAAGCAGAAGTAAATAATTAAACAACAAATGTAATTACACAAAAACTGCTCTGAACGAACTTTAACAAAGTATACGTTTTCGTTTTTATCCCAAACTGTTCTGTACTTTGAATATTTTGAAATATTTTATATTTAAACTAAAGTCAATCATTAAATACGTAACATCGATCACGAATATCGGTTTTGCTTCACCCACAGCTAGTCGGCCGAGCGTATTTATTGCAAAAAGAACTTTATTTACATTAGTTAGAAAGTCGAATTATTTCATTATCGTTTTCGATACCTTTCGGTATGGTGATCGCTCAAGTGCGATATAAATAGTCGAGCCGCTGCAATTGGGTCGATGTCAATGAAAAATCTGTTAGCATGCTTATTTGGCTACCCACCCATTACTCTAGAACAAACCATAAACCCGTAGTAATCATTACTTAGTAATAGCATGTATACACACATACAAATTTCATTAAAATTAGTCACTGAAGCCTTACTTATTTAATATTAGACACATTTACTGGTGGTAGGAACTCTTTTGAGTCCGCGCGGGTAGATACCACCACCCTGCCTATTTCTGAAGCAGTAATGCGTTTCGGTTTGAAGGGTGGGGCAACCGTTGTAACTATACCTGAAACCTTAGAACTTATATCTCAAGGTGGGAGGCGCATTTACGTTGTAGATGTCTATGGGCTCCAGTAACTAATTAACACCTGGTGGGCTGTGAGCTCGTCCACCCATCTCTGCAATAAAAAAAACACACACACACATTCATTGGAACATCGTTGGACGAATAATGTAATGTAATGTAAAACTATAAAAGAAGGTTGTACCCGAAGTCTCACCGGAGATTATCCTTCTTTAGAAGAACATGCAAAGGAGACTATCGGAGTGATAACGAGAAAAATCAATTTACAAAAGACTTCGATCACGCAGATTGGACGGCTTTTTATTTACATATCTAGAACTCTCATAGTACTTAGTACTTTATACGTTGTTATTAAGAGCTGTCATTTCTTATATGTATAAGGCTATTCCCGAATCCCAAATTGACAAGAAACAGCTGCCTTAATGTTTATGGAAACAACGACTATCTACTAGTAAGCTTCTCAGTCTTAAGGAGTCTCCTTATTCTTGTCCGTCTTACACTTGTCAATAACCCATGGTGCTTCTCGCCGGATCTCCTCAGCGGGCCGCAACTCCAATGCGGCAGTAGAGTTAGTGTAGCACTGTTCTTGCTAGGGCCAGTGTTAGTAATTCTTTCAGGTTAACCCCGTGAGCACACCTATCGATCTGCGTGAAGTTGGAGTGACCTCTTAGGCTACCAACGATTAGGCTGCCGATCCCCCCACTCTCTAATGTCCCTCAGTCACGATTTCTTTCGATTTCCAGCGTGTCTCCTGCCTTCGTGAAGATCATAAATGTTTAAAGCCTTATATCACGGGCACTCGCTTCGATTTAATATGTATGAATCGTTTTGCTTATTAAGCAAAATTTGTAGCTAAGTGAATTTCGGTTTACTAATAAGTTAACATTCCATGAATACGTAATTTAAAGAAAAGTCAGCTAACGAACACATCAAATGAAATCCCGAATTTCGAGCGTCAGCAGATTTTTAATCGATTTAAATTACATTGCGTTTCAAGTTTTGCGGTAAAATACGATTTTTTTTCAATTGCATCGTTTTCAGCGTTTTCGCGTACAGAATCGCCTTAATTACCATTAGTTTGCTAAAGTTAAAGTAAAATTTGCCATCAGGTTGCTATTTCCCGAAGTACTGCAAGGAGTTAGCGCAGCAGCTGGGCATCGGTGGCTGGGTTAAAAACACGAAGAAAGGCACGATCGTCGGGAAACTGCAGGGGACGAAAGCGCAACTAGACCACATGTAAGATTGTGAGCAATGTTTCAAATTAACTCATGATACCCGGCCTTGTATCACTATAATATTATCTAATGTCCCAAAATACATAATTAAATGGAAACAAGGCCCTTTGTTGAAATAGCCCATGCGCCATCTAGTCTACTGTTGAGTTACACTAGAAACTAGTAACAGCTCCTGAAGACGCATCGAAAACTAAAAGGTTTATATAAAAGTGATTAAATTACGTGCTATCATATTACACTTAAGCCAACAAACTATAAACCACCTAGATTAATTAATTTATAAATAGACTATCAATTAACAATAGGCCTGCTTAATGGAAAATGCCAGGTATGCCTGTGATCCGCCTAACAATAGACTTGATTCATTCATTGATCCTAAAAAGATTAAGATTTGATGATGGTCAGTTATTAACATTCTAAAATTCCTGATAAATCTCTATATAAAAGTCGATGTGTGTAATATATGTATGTTTAAGTATTCCTTATAGACTCCGAAACGATTGAATCAATTTCGATGTATTTATTGGAACGAAGTCCCTGCGGCAGGCTTGGAGGGGATAGGGATTTTGCTGCGCGACCGAACTGAAAAAAATGTGATAGTAAAACCGTAAGAAAAAGTCCGTGGAATAAAACCGTTAAATGAGACGTGCGCAGGCGCGACAGTCGCATACACAAGCGAGTAGTGTATAATACCTTTCTCTTTCTCCCTCTTTCTTTTCGTTCTCTGATCCCTTCTCTCTCTATTTTGTAATTATTTCTATGTAATTTTATGTTGTCAAAATAAAGAGACACATTTTGTTATTTTAATTGATAATTTGAATTACGGTTTTCGTTTATTTTACGTAATTTATTATTTCCTAAAATACTGAATTTCCTAAATACATTCCTGTACTTAAATAAAAACTAATCAGCAAAATTTAAGAGAAAAATCAAGTTCAAGAAAACCTACATAAAATTGAGCACGATTTTTTTTTGCAAATTGTGTCGATTCTACATTAGCCGAAGGAACTTCGTTCCTACCTGGTGTCCCACGACACCACATCTTTTTTTATTTATTGCATAGATTGGTTGACAAGCTCACGGCCCACACATTAATCACATTAAGTGGCTACCGGAGCCCATAGACATCTACAACGCAAATGCCACCACCCACCTTGAGATATGAGTTCTAAGGTCTCAGTAATACTCAGTATAGTTACAACGGCTGCCCTTCAAGCCGAAACGCATTACTGCTTGACACCAGTAACACTTTCAGGAAGTCGTCAGATTAGCCTAGAAAGCGGCAAAGCAAAATGAGTCGAGGTTATCATATAGTATATCATCTTATGTCTTTCGGTTGACAATTATTAATCAGTTGTCTTGTCTTTTTATCACTTTAAAGAATATTGGAAGTCAACCAAAATTCTATCATCAATGATGCGGAAATTCTAATGATCACTGGCAGTTTCATGTCAATCAACGAGCGAACCTAATTAAAAACCGAACAAGAATTAGGTATCTCTCGTATTTGGCGTCTTCTTGCAAATTGATTATTGTTTATATAGACGTCCTGGGTACATAACCATAAATCAAAATTAATAAACCAGTAGAATGCGTTGGGTCTCATCATTCATTCTCCTGCCCTTCCCAGTCACCTGGGGTCGGCGCAACAAGTTTTCTCCTTCCATACTCCTCTATCATATACATATGGTATATATGGTCCAAGAATTGTCTTCGCTCACTCCCCTCTTACACATATCGTCTTTCACGCAATCCATCCATTTCTTCTTTGGTCTAACTCTTCCTCCAATGCGTTATGTCTATGCTTCAAAAAAGAGTGTAATCAAATAAAAAATGGGTTAAATAAAAATAGTAATGGAATATAAACCAACGGATTATATAATTATTTATGGTTTACTGTGCCCCTATCTCCGGAACTACTGATTGGAATTTCGGGTAGTTTTCACAGGTAGAAATAGATTGAAAATGTGAATATTAAAATCATCTCTTTCCCCTGTTTCAAATGTATTTTTTGTTTTTTTTTAACGCTGGGGAATCCATTTACTGATATCCGGTCGAGGGGGGTAACGGACCGAGCTATGTCGAACTCCGGCGCATCCTGAGAAGAATAAGAGGAGAAGAGAAGGACCGAGGTCCTCCACCTCCCCCAATTTCTCACAGGAGACGACTACACGCGAGGCACTTGCCCCGCAGAACCGACTACCGACTTGTGTGCTTAGTGCGAGTTTTTTAACGTTCTCGATGGCGTAAAAGTTAACCCAATTTTGTATGCAGTTGGAACAGCGCCCCTAGCGGCAAACGTAGGCAAACGTTTCCACTCCATACAAATGTGAGCTAACTTTTACGCTATCGAGAACGTAAAAAAACTCGCACTAAGCACACTGTTTCAAATACCTAATACGCATTGGCAGCACGCGATATTGTAAAAAGATGTTTTACCAAATAAATATATTCAAAATTAGTTTAACAGTTTAATTTCGCGTTTTTTACGTAGGTACATTACATCAAACATTAATTAATTGTTATTAAATATATCAGTCGACGAAACTGTATAAAGTATTCGATACATAAAAAAAAACGCAATAAATAATTCGTAAGAAGCTTAATTTTCTCCACGTATCGAATCGCAGTGCTCATCAAAATTTCATTAGACGAACGACAATTTCATCCTTTTTTATTTTATCGAAAAACAACTACCGAACCAAACGAATATAACTATACACACCGGGTTGAACTTGTAATAATGTTCTTTGATTCCAGGATCAACTGGTTAAGTACAACGGGCTCTCCAGGGTGCAAGATAGAGAAATGCGACCTCACAAACTGGGAGTACGTGGCTAGAATAGCGTACACTGATTTCAGTATACGATTCTGACTAATAACAATGAATGTCAAAAATATGAGGCGCTTGTTTTAAATGCTATCAAAATAAATGTGATTTTACTTAATTTAGTTTCTTTGCGTTTCTTTATTGTTTTCATTAATTACTAATATACTATAATTATTTAAAATCTTATTAATTATACATATTTTTTTTATAAATTGCACATACGATGCTAAAAGTCACGCAATACTTGTTAACACTGAACTGAGTATGAGAAAATACATTTTTTTAATTGTTATTAGTGAGACGAGATGAATGTTTGCTTTTACTGATGAAGTTTGTAGTTAATTTTATTTCTATAGCCTAGCAGAACTATAATATAGTAATTTATATAATAAGATGTTGAATTTTCAAACGTTTCTCCTGAAAAATTACATAATTTGCATAAGTGACGTTATCGCACCGTATGTGCGAAATATTAAAATTTTTTTTTTTTGAAACACTGATGAAAACAGATTGCTGCTGATGGTGGTTTCTACGACACAATCCACTAGTGCTTTGGAATCCAGAGTGAGAAACCTCCGCACAATACGCACCGTATCAAGGATAACTGCCTTCTGTATCAGGCCCCTAATCAAGCCGTGTACCTAACAACTATTGGACCAATTATAGTTGAATCAACATGCCACATGGCGGTAGTCCCGCGGACTAGGTCTAAATATTTTAATAATTTGACCTTTTGGACCTATTGGAAGTAAACAATTATCGAATTCTCCTTTTCATTGAAATTGTCGATAAATTTCCTCCTCCATGTTGGTCATCACTATCGTTCATGAACACGAGCAGTACTTAGAATCGCTCGTTACCACTGTAAAGCTCCCCAACTTAAGACCAACTTAAGACCAACTTAAGCAAACAACTTAAGAGACGAGCACCCGACTCGTAGAAGGCTTGTTCGAAATATGCCACAGCACTATTCCATATATCGAATGGAAAAATAGCATGAAAATAAAAATATCCAAAATTATTTCACAATCAGTTTATTATTGCATAATCTACAGATAAAATTATGTACAAAAACAATCAGCCCTGCAAATCTAGTGGATCACTTATATACATGTGTATCACTATCTTTATAATCTTGTTATAGAACAAGATGGCGTATAATATAAAAAAAAAACTATAAGACCCTAAATTTGTATAAAGACAGCGAAGACATTAAATTCGTAAAATGTGGAATTTCTATTAAAAAAACAAAAAATCCACCTTGTCCCTTGTCATGGCTATCTTAATTTTGTTAAATTGTGTTCTACATACACAATAGTAATTTAAAAGTTTTTAGTGGAAATAAGTAGATATTTGTGATATGTACCGAGGCTTCAATGTGTTAAAATGTGACAACATTGAAAACATAGTGAACAATATTTGTTAAAAATGATAGTAGAGGTACATATTATGTAGAAATGATTTGGCGTTGTTGAAAATTGTCCCCAATTTTTTGACAGCTTCATTCCATTTCACATAGATAATTTAAAAAATACAGCAATCCATTTTGGAGAAATTGATATGTAATAAATTAAATAATTTCCGAGGTAGATTAATTCAATACGTATATCATATCTAAGTGTATCTAAAATATATTTTGTAAACATTAACATAATATGTATAAACATCTATATGAATTTTCTTCTATTTACAAAATAAACATGTAAAAATAACAGTTTACAAGTTGCTTTATATGCGATCCCTGTGTTCAATTATGAAAAATTTAACATCGCTCATAGATTATGTGATTTTTTTTACAGAATTGTTGTTGATTATTCATGGAAGATTTCGATATCACTAACGTAGTACTATAAAACAAAATAGATGACTTTCAGGTGGCTACTGCAAATAGTTTTGTTTCATAATTGATATTTATCGGGATTTATACAATTTTTAGTATTTAATTATTTTCAGTTCTCCAAATAACTAAATAATATAATTTACGAATTGTATTGTATATACGACACAGATGGCTTCTTTATAATAATATACGCACTAGGTACTCTAATGTTTACAATTTTTTGTTGTAAAAGTATTTTTAGAGTAATGTGAAGAATATAAAAAGATGCTGATACTTACGGAGGTACAGAACCTCAGGTCGGATTATTGGAATGTCAAAAGCGTGGTCATCGACTGTCATAAGCTGTTCTTCAGAAACTAAGCTTGAAAAAGGTTATGTCTTAACGCTCAGAGAACACCGTGTAGAAGATTACATTATAGGATTTGATTTTACGAGGTGCACAATGGGAAACGTCTTGTACTTGAAGTATAAGAGATAGAGGTAGACGAGATTTTTGATTATTATTTGATAGTCTTTGGTGATCATGATTGTCAAAGTTTGAGGGAGGTACCATCTCGCACAATTGTTTAGGGCAATTCCTATGAAACATGCTAATAAAAGTAGACCTAAAAGCCGTAAATGAGTTACAAATCCACTCATAAAACTAGGATCCCAAATAATTCGAAAACCACATTTTTGTAGTAATAATTTGTTGTTTTTATTCGGAAGCCCGGCTTTGAGGTGAGACCATTACGCACCCCACGCGAGCTCTCACTCAGTACTTTTAAGTTTTATCTTTAACGAAAATCTTTTGTAACGAGAGAATTTCCGTCGTGTCACAAACACCGCAGCTTTTCAAAATCAATCTCCGTTTTAGTTTCCTTCCATTCCGTTGTAGCTTTCTACGCAAATTTAATTTCATATCTAAACGTTATACTAACAAAATTATTCGTAGTCCTTGAATTAAACAAATATGTAATAATCTTATTTTACAGTAATATTACTTTTTTTAAATCAAAGATAATATTTGCGGTTTTGTCGTTCTAAACTTCCTTCATTTTGTGTACGAAATGGTCATTCAAATATTCGTAATATCCGTAATTTGATCACTAAATTAGCTTAGCGACTAATAGACAAACCTGTAATCGCAAAAATTAGACAAACAGTTATGTATATGTATTGGTGCATATGATATGTCATTGTTTTTTCTTTTCTTTTATTGCTTATATGAGTGGACCAGCTCACAGCCCACCTGGTGTCAAGTGGTTACTGGAGCCCATAGACATTTACAACGCAAATGCGCCACCCACCTTGAGATATAAGTTCTAAAGTCTCAAGAATAGTTACAACGGCTGCCCTACCCTTCAAACCGAAACGAATTACTGCTTCACGGCAGAAATAGGCAGGGTGGTGGTACCTACCCGCGCGGACTCACAAGAGGTCCTACCACCAGTAAAAGTTATTTTTATATACCACCAGTTTACATACAAATGGAACTGATGAGCTGAAAAAAGCTTTGCAGCAATATAATTCTTTGCTGTCTGCTAATGATTAGGCGCTCTAATTTTAAATTAAAGTAATTCTTTGTTGGAAGTTTTGAAAATTAAATTAGAAGGTATGAAGTGAATTTGCTTAAAAAAAAAAGTAGTATTACGGGAATGTTTTTTTTCTGATATAACACTAGAAAATAATTTAGTTTTGTTATAACGACCCGGCTTCAGCAAGCCGTTTAGTAAGCGTCTGCTCCAATCTCTTGGAGTCGCGATCTAGCGAAGTCGTCCTCCAGACTAGACTTTGTCTTCGGGCTGCAGAGGTAGACTAGCGACTTCTTGTCGTCTCCCTTCTTTAGCGGCGGCAGCAAGGGCTCTTTTATGTCTCTTCTTAGTTCTCTCTTTGTGGACAAATAGTCTTAGATAATGACACGGGAAAACTACGCATTCTCCGTCCGGTTCCTCGGCGTCAATGTAGACTCCTCGGACGAGGATCGAATTGGAACAGTTCAATAAGACGAGAAGGCAGAAACTGACGATATGGGTGCACCAGTTGCTGAATTTCGGCCAATCTGTTAAAAAACAAATAAATTTTCAAAATATATTTAATTTTTATTTTATTTAAATTATTTTCGTAACTTGACTAGCTGTCACCCGCGGCTTTGCCTGCGTGTTCAAGGAATAGTGTCGATTATTTTTTCTATAGTGTCACGGAATACACCTAAACACAATAAAACAGTAAGTATCCCGTTGGAATGTTATGTTTTTTTTTTCGGAATCAAAAGTAACCGAAATCACTTTCCTGAACCAAAACTATAATAAAAAAAATACATGTCAATTGCCGTTGTTTCATTTCGACCTGAAAGAGGGACAAACAAATACACTTTCACGTTTATAATATGATATTAAGCATGGATTTTGGGTAGGTAGTGTAAACGAGGAATTGGGTAAGAATAATAATTTTGAATTGCTTTTTTTTTACCTAAGCTGAGAGCCTTGGGAGGCTATTCCAGCGTAACCTTAACTAGTAGGTGAGCTCACGGGGCTCAAGCCCGACGCAGTTGCTAACACGAACCCTAGCAAGAGCCGTGCTTCGCAGAATCTAGCACCGGATCAGAAACGCGACCCACTGAGAAGATCCGGCGAGAAACTCAGTGGGCTGTGTCTGAGGGTTAATTTACTTAAGGATGATGACCGGGTATTTAATTTGCCTATACTTTACTAAGCATAAATACGAACCAGGGAAGAAATAAACATTGAGCAAGCCCCACACTCCTCGCCAGACGTTGACCGTCGCGAAAAACGACACGAGATGGTATACGTCGGCCAGGAGGAGTCTCGGCGCGCCTCGGAGACGTGCTGCAGCCCAACACATCGGGACTTGAAGAGAGAACGTCATAATAACCAGCGCGTAACCTAGTGCCTGAAAAANCGGCAAATGTTCCACGAACACAAAAATAACTAAAACAAAACAAATAAAAGCTTCCAGGAAACACACTTGGTCGGCAGATGTATCACGAACACAGGCCGCGCGAACAATGGCCGGGCTAACAAAAGCCGGGCGAACAAAGACCGGGCGATCGAGTGGACGATGAGCACGTCCGCACGTGACGGGTGCCTCTATCGGAATGAGAAAACATGTTGCGCCGACCCCAGGTGACCGGGAGAAGGGCAGGAGAATGAATGAATGAATGAATCTTAGCTTTGAGTAGCCACTATGTTCCATCTTGTACTGAACGGGTGCCCATAGAATACAACTTGAATATTGACGGTAGGTACCACCATCCTGCCTATTTCTACCGTGAAGCAGTAATGCGTATCGGTTTGAAGGGCGGGGCAGCCGTTGTAACTATACTTGAGACCTTAGAACTTATATCTCAAGGTGAGTGGCGCATTTACCTTGTAGATGTCTATGAGTTCCAGTAACCACTTAACATCAGGTGGGCTGTGAGCTTGTCCACCCATCCGAGCAAGAAAAAAAATGTGATACACTGCATAAATAGCATGCCTTGATTATCTCAGAATTTGAACTCTAATTAATGACTACTTCACGGCCGAAATAGGTAAGATTTTTTCATTGGGTCGCGATTCCTATCCGGTAGTAGATTCTGCGAAGCACAGCTCTAGCTAGGCCTAGTGCTAGCAAGTTCTCTCGGATTGAGTGCGTGGGCTCACGTCCCCGTCTGAGCGCAGCTAGCGTAGCCCCTTAGGCTGCCAGCGAACAAGTAGGAAAATAAAAAGAATTCATCAACTGATTTAGATACGTTTATGTTTAATATTCTTCGTGTCTAGAAACCCTAGTACTATTAATTGTGCAGTGCGAAAATACCAATATCCATTTTGTATACTTCAGACGAGCTTACTGCTAACATTTTACGGATGTAAAAAAAATTCAACGATTATCTATATGTCGTGGATAACGACTTTTAGTAATATTAAGATGGTGGTTTTGATTATTATTTTAAATGATGAAATGTTGTTTTGATAAATATCACAAAATGAAGGGTAGACTCCGTAACGCCACAGTATAAAATGGCGGTACGTGGACAGAGTCGTGGCATTCCGTGTCAGACAGTCATTCCGTCCGTCTCAGTCAGTGAGTCTCTGGCAGTCAGTCAGTCAGTCAGTCATTCAGTCGGTCTGTCGGTCTGTCGGTATGTGCAACGAAACTGTCGGTTTATCCTGTCATTGTGAAAGTTGTGTGTGTTGAGTTTCAATAATTATTATTCAAAAGGTTTTATTGACTTTTTATAAACTGAGTTCAACCAAATACGAGTGATGACGGAAACTACCGCTCAGCCATCCCTGACGTAAGCCAACATATATATTAATACGTGAAGCAAAAACTTTGTAGCCCTTTTTACGAAAATTGCGCGGACGGAGGAGTATGAAATTTTCCACACTTATAGAGAATATAGAGAAGAAGTGCACAATGCTGATATTTTTTTAAAATAATTTATAAAAGATACATTAAATCAATAAAGAAAACATTACACACACTACATACCACGTATTTGACGCACACACGCATGCATACTACTTATTGTCAAACTTTTGTTCTTGACGTCTGTGGTCAAATTGAGAATAGAATAAATATTGTTTGTCTTTATTAATATTTTTTTATAGTGTAGCCTTGGCGAAATTTGTAATTATAGAAGTATAAAATACAATCATAGTAGTGTATCAACTTATACAATTCCAATTAATTTTATAGTCGAATTTCGACTACTGCGGGACCTCTAGTAAGTATAAACTCGTAATATTATTTTGTTATAACGTAAACAATTAGTTCACAATAGACGTAATGTAGACATTCCGATTGTCTTTATACTTCCCTTATCATGTTTGTGACGTTTATTTATAAACTACTGCATTATTCAGATAATCGACGCTTTCAAAATTATCTGGTGTCACTACATATACTATTTATTGTACGTCTCTGTTATTATTTGTACGAGTAATAGCAAACGTTCGCCTCTTTCTCTTACTATTTCCGGATCTCTCATTTCGAAAAGCAGCTGTTAAATTAATAGCACAAGTTTAAGCGCTTAATGTGCTTTTTTTTATTGCTTAGATGGTTGGACGAGCTCACAGCCCACCTGATAGACCATAGACATCTACAACGTAAATGCGCCTCCCACCTTGAGATATAAGCTCTAAGGTTTCAGTATAGTTACAACGGCTGCCCCACCCTTCAAACCGAAACGCATTACTGCTTCACGGCAGAAATAGGCAAGGCGGTGGTACCCACCCGCCCGGACTCACAAGAGGTCCTACCACCAGTAATTACGTAAATTATAATTTTGCGGGTTTGATTTTTATTACACGATGTTATTCCTTCATCGTGGAAGTCAATCGTGAACATTTGTTAAGTACGTATTTCATTAGAAAAATTAGTACCCACCTGCGGGATTCGAACACCGGTGCATCGCTACATACGAATGCACCGGACGTCTTATCCTTTAGGCCACGACGACTTGCTTATTAAACTCTTTTTAAATATACAATATATTTTTAAATACGTTACAAAAGTTGCTCGCGAGACTTCCGATAAAATCCACTTGTGATTAGGTTATTGTGAGAAACCTTCTCCATAATAAATAGCATTGTTATTGTATAATCATAAACTTTTTTTTGTTCTTTATATAATATTGTACTATGGCAACACTTCCAGAAATTATTCAAATATAAAAAAAAATTTTAAAGCACTTACACATTTCACATTATTGTTGATCGTTACAAACTCCACTATTAATGCTACTATTTCGTTGTGTCAAAAATCTTTTATACCTACTGTAAATAGCTTTACACTGTTACCATTACATGATACGGCCGAGCCGAGCCGAGCCGAAACGGTTGAGATGTTCGGCAGATTGACATATTTATAAAATACTAGCTAACCCGGTAAACTTCGTATAGTATACCACCATATTTTCTGAATTCCTAAATTCCTACATATTTTTTTTAATAGGTTTGGGTGTTGATGCGCCCTTGTCACAGAAATTTTAATTAAAAAAAACATTTAGTAAACTGATCGATTTTTACTTTTTTTTTGTACACAAATCTTGCTATAACGAACACAAAAAAAAGAATTATCCAATTTGTGGTCGGCGTTTTGAGGTTTTGGACGTACATACTTTACGCCGATTTATTTATATATATATAGATAATGAATGTGTGGCGGGTAGCCATCATACAATGCAAGATAATTGATAGATGCCTGAATCTCGCTTACGACAATTTCAAGATAAAGCGCATATATACAAGTTCCGAATAACAACATTTGGACCGTCGGTCTACCGAGCAAATATCACCCGCTCGGTGGAAGATCTTCCCTTTGTCGTATATACCCAAACTGGTGACCTCCGACGTGATGTGAACACGCAACCTTCTGATCCATCATCAGCGCATCAAGAACTTCGGCTACCACAATCCCCGCATTCTCGCAGATAAAAGCAAGTCATCGACAGTCGTCCCACAGCAAGCCAGCATCGCAGCCTCAACAGGACCATCGCAGCCGACTCACCGCGCTTCCTGGCCCTACGGCACGCACTTACACTGCCTCATCGCGCAGCAATCAAGCTCAGTCTCGACTCACCGCAGACTTCGAGCAGCACTGGCGACAATCACGCAGCATTCAAGCTCAGTTTCGACTCACCGCAAAAACTTCGAGCAGCACTGGCACTTGCAAGCTAATCTCAGCACGGACACCGATAACTAAAATATGACACGACCTCCAGTCTCGGAGGGGAGTGATGTGGCGGGTAGCCATCATACAATGCAAGATAATTGATAGATGCCTGAATCTCGCTTACGACAATTTCAAGATAAAGCGCATATATACAAGTTCCGAATAACAACATTTGGACCGTCGGTCTACCGAGCAAATATCACCCGCTCGGTGGAAGATCTTCCCTTTGTCGTATATACCCAAAAATGTGTAAATCCAAATCACAGTTCACATTTCAATAATTTGAGCACAAAATCAAATTTTTTTTTTCAGTACTCTGCTATATATAATTAAGAGGCTGCTAAAATGTACCCTATAAATAAATCGTAATCTTTTGATTGCTGTCCTTTGTTCACCCCTCTGAATGATAAGATAATATTATATTACCTAAGAATGACATATTACGATGGAGCCATTGTACATATAATAGGTGATATGAACTAGGGTTGTATTTGTCAAAGATTAGAGAGGCGCCGTATGTGCGCCGTCCTCTATATGAAAGTATTGATTTAATTTAAGGAAAGTATTCACGCGCTCTTTATTTGGAAATGGAAAATTTTGTGCTAGCTTCAATAGATAATATGAGCCTGCGTAATACTAAAAAAATATCTGAAGTGGATAATGTTAAAGGCACATAAGAAAACGTTGAGCTAGACACAGATCTAGACATAAAATTGGTTGTATTTATAGTATAAGATAGATGTATAGCATGCACAGATGCACAGGATCTTCGGTTGTGACAGTAAATGACAGGAAAATAAGCGGAAAAATAATGCACGTACCAACATTAGGTATATTGCATCAAATTATCGAGACACATCAACTTGGATGAATTGATCATAATAATGCTCTGTAGTATTTTTTATTGATGTTAAAGAACCTCACAGCCTGCCTGGCAGAGCTGGTCCGGTAATCATAATAACACCCCGCCTATTTCTATCTCAAAGTTCTAATGAGTTTCCATTAAATAATACTTTGACTTTATACCTCAAAATTCCGGCCTTCTCAGCTATATCTATATCATTAAAGTATTTTTTTGGCTTAGATGTGTGAAAGAACTCACGGTCTACCTGGTGGTTATTAAATTACCATATCAACCAACCGAAATGCCGTCACCCACCATGAGGCGTGAGTTCTCAATTTCCATTTTATAATACAAGTCATTTTTCAAACGGAAACGCATAGTTACATAACGGCAGAAATAGGCAGGGTGGTGGTGGTTTTATTTTTTTAACGCTGGGGAACCCGTTTGCGGATACCGACTACCAAAGATAGAGACAAGTGGAGAGGAGTTGTGCAACGGACGAGTTGTGAAACGCCACCGAACAAACCACGACCTTCAGAAACGAAGATGCAGATTCAGAAGACATAGGTTCTTTCAAATGGTCTTTAGTTTCGCACCGACCTAATCTGGATCCGAAGATGTTAATAACGAAGATTAACGAGGCATTTTAAGCTTTCGCGGCTACGTATATTACACACACTAATATTTAACGGATACGATCTTCAGATGTAGGTAATAAGTTACCCATATTTCGGTGATTACGGGTACCTTATTGAATAGTCTACCGAGTTTACATATTAGCATGTGTAAGATGTATAAGTTTTTTAAGGTAAAGTAAGTAAGGCCAGATGATCTTACATGATGATAGTCTCGACTTTGAATATTAATGAGGAGTTACTGGTGTACACCCTTGGCCTCCTCCACAATCTACTTCCAAATCCTACTACAACTTCCCCGTAAACCAACCTTATCAACAATATGATCAATAAAACTTTTTCTACTTGACCCTTGGGCTATTGTGGCCCAGTGTCCTGATGCGTGGCTTTCATGTGTTCGTACCGGAAAAAACAGAATAGCCACTATCCAAACGAGATTGTCACACGATTGACGACGAGCAACATTGAGTTATCTATTAAAGAGTTTTCAGATTTTATTATAATATGAGGGAGCATCCTAAATATTAGACTACAAGACAAAGTCAATCGAGCGTGTGAAGACATTTCTTGGCAAACCAGCCGATGATCCAAATGTTATTGATCGGAACATGTACGTACGCAAACATATCTTGAAAATGTCCTTAGATGCAGACATCTATGAAAAATATTTTGTTCAGTAATAGCTATTCGTCACGCATACTACATATGCATATGGTATATAGGTACAGTAAACTAATTTAAGTGGAACTGGATATGTTGTATGATCTGATACGAAAATAGTCAAAAGAAATCACTATGTGCTTCATCTATAAAAAAACGGACGAGACGAACGGACAGAACAAGGGGAAAATAGATGTGAAGAAAACAGCTGTACCGCTATGGCGAAGGAAAACTACGAATAGAAAAATATAGGAAACAAGACAAACCTTTGTTAGAAGGCAATCTGACAATTAATAAATAGTTTAGATATAAAGTGTTTTGGATGTGTATTGGAGTATATAGACTACAATAATTTTATATGGGTTGGACTGTGAGCTCGTAAGGCCCTAAATCGCAAATAAACAGCCTGTGTGGTTTCATTGGACTTGATCAGCGGAAGTAATTAATAAGTGGTCAGCACTAAGAATAGCTGTAAAATTCCATAAATATCCCTCATTATTCAATCAACTAAAAACGGGTAGAGTTTCAGGAAACATTAGTAGCTGATGAGTTGAATTACTTGAAAGGAAGTTGTGGGTGCACAATTAGAAAACCAAAGAAGAAATACAAAAAAAAAATACAAATTCTGTTAGTTTTAAGAATGTCTTTCGTTGGGAACTTTATGTCCTGAGAGGTGTGTTGACCAAAAATGGATTTAGATTTCGACGTGTTAGATTTACTGTTTGTAGATTGAAAGTTTATAAACTGTTGAATTTGAAATAGAGATTATTCCAGAGAAGCTATTTGCTAATGATATTAACAAAGAACCGACGATACTAACATTCCTAGAAGAATTTAAAAAGTAAAGAAAAAAGTCTCCAAAATGACGTCTGACAATACAAAAAATACAAAAGTGATTACAGAATATACCCAAAATTAATTCAATGGAAGCTGCCTTGCGGAAAATCTTTATTTGTTGCTTTGTTATCAACTTAATCGAAATAACCAAATTACCCAGCTGACCGTTACTAGTCCAAGGTAATAAAATGACTGTTGAAATACAAACATTAATATACGCACTACGTACTAGCACTTGTGTTGAGGGGACACAAGACTGCTGAGAGGAAGAATCAATTGCGTGGCGAATGTACAATGGCCATTGACTCAATACAGCGTATATCGTGCAAGCGGGAAAATAGCATCTCTAGGTTTCATTGTAGTCAGAAGATTTAGTTGAACAGATACTTAAACTAATTTTTATATTACAGAGCCAAAAATATTATGTCAAAACTAAGAACATATTTAATTAAGATGTAATAAACTAACATTAATGTATTAACTAAACATACACAAATAATGATGCAATAAGACTTTTTTTTTTGTTTAATAAAATCCGTATAAATTATTTAAACAAACTTTGTAAGTCTTGTTTTGTTACTATATTTGTATAATATTTCTGATTTCGTTTTATCTTAAGACAACTGTAATGTTATTTACAAAGATTGAAATATTAGGGATTTCTGAGGCTTTATAGGGATAATAGGCCCCAGAAATCATTAGTTTCTAGGCGGTATTTTTTGTGCCTAGATATTAAAAACATTCTTTAATGTAGAAACCTTGTACCACCCATGAAAGTCATCGTGGCCTGAAGGATAAGACGACAGGTGTATCTTTTTAAGCGATGCGACTGAGCCGATGCTCAAATCCCAGCAGACAGATATTAATTTTAGTAAAGAAATACACCCTTAATCATCATCATCATAATCGGTTGCTCTTAGCAGAGCAGTCGTGGTCATGAGGATTTTTTTCCCTACCTATGCTGATAGCCTTGAGAGGCGATTTCAGCTTCACCCTAACCTGTGTAGGTGAGCTCATGGGGCTCAAACCGGAGTGTTACTAACACTGACCCTAGCAAGAGCAGTGCTTCGCAAAATCTACCGCCGGATCAGAAACGCGACCCACTGAGAAGATCCGCCGAGAAACTCAGTGGGCTGTGTCTATGGGTTAATTTACTCGCCGAGCCCTTCGTCGTAAGCGACGGGTTCGACGAGAGCGATGACCGGTGCTTGGGGTACTTAAAAGCACCGTTAGTGGATCGGGAGGATCCGAAATGACGTGTTTTGGGCGACGTCGACTGCTTTCCATTCCATGGCGATTCGTCCACGAGATCTCTTATCATTGACCCTACCCTGAACAACAAGTTTCTCGATAGACTCTTAATACACACTTAATACATGTTCACGATTGACTTCTGCGATGAAAGAATAGCTTCGCGTAGTCGAAATGAAACCTGCAAACAATATAATTTCTGTAATTGGTGATAGGGCGTTCGGTAAGCTGACGTGGGTGGGTATATTTCCTGGCTAATTTTGCCGCGAAGCAATTATTCGTTCCGGTTTGATTTATGGAACAACCGGTATACAATTGAGAATTCCAAACCAGGTTCCAAAGTGGGTGGCGGCATTTGAGTTTGGAGGCCCATTCATTCTGGTATCTACTATCTACTTACTCTACATCACATAGGCCGTGAGTTTGTCCACCAACGTCCACTACGAAAGAAAAAAGTAAAAAATAGCCATATTAGTTTCAGTTATTCATCAGTTTTATCCCGAGATATCATCATCATTCTCCTGATCCTCTCTCAGTCACCCGGGGTCGGCGCAACATGTTTTCTCCTTCCATACTCCTCTATCATATCACTCCCCTCTTACACATATCGTCTTTCACGCATATGAAAGTGTTGAAGTCGTCGTGGCCTAAAGGATAATACGTCCGGTGCATTCGTACCTAACGATGCAACGGTGTTCGAATATCGTAGGCGGGGACCAATTTTCCTAATGAAAAACATATTTAACAAATGTTCACGATTGACTTCCACGGTGAAGGAATAACATCGTGTAATAAAAATCAGACCTGCGAAATTATGGTTTGCGTAATTACTGGTGGTAGGACCTCTTGTGAGTCCGCACGGGTAGGTACCACCACCCTGCCTATTTCTGCCGTGAAGTAGTAATTCGTTTCGACTTGAAGAGTGGGGTAGTCGTTGTAACTATAATAATCACGTTGTAAATGTCTATGGGCTCCAGTAACCACTTAAAATCAGATGAGCTGTGAGCTCTAATCTAAGCAAAAAAAAAGAAACGCAATCCATCAGTTTCTTTCTTAGGTTATTTTCTTAAGTCTACCTCTTCCTCTATATACTTCTCCACTTCTGTATCATATTTGCCACTTTCTGACTTCCTCTAACATATTCATTCCGTATTCTATCCATTCTCGTTACTCCACACATCCATCGCAACATTCGCATCTCTGCTGCATGCAATCGCCTTTAATCCGCCACTTTAGTGGTCCAACAAGCTGTTGAGCCTTGTTGAAGTTAATTTAAATATTGACACATTTATACACGTATATACATGTCAATGTTATATAAATATACATGTCAATATGACTAGAACAGAAATAATCCTTAATATTGATGAATTTGACGGAGCGACTTTTGACGGAATGGAAAAAGGAATAATTGAAATGTGCACATGAATTTCACGAAAAGGATAACGTACAACAATCATTTCAATGAAAAAGCCTACCAATGGAGTACTAAAGTAAACGAATCGTCAGGAGTACCGTATTTTTTCAGGTATGAGGTGATTTATTCTGGAATAGCTTCTAAGGCTACCAGCGAATAGGTTGGGGAAAAAATTAAGCGTTACGATTTTCAGCAATCACACAAATCGAACTACAAGAGAATAATTTAAAGGCTTATAAAAATTTATAGGCCCCCTAAAATTGTAAATAATCAAAATTTTCACCAATTTCAAACCAATTTCCTCATATCGGGACGTCGTTGGCTGTGTCTTATCTCTCTGATTTTATCATACCAAATGCTCTCCTAACTTACCAGTGAAATCCACAAAGACTTAACCAGGTTGTCTGGTAAAATAAAGATGTCCAATAGAGCCCAGGAGCCTCGCCACACGAACACCACCAGCGAGCCAACCACGCTCACTGAGAACACGCAGTCCAACACGTAGAGCGCCATGTCTTTACTGTTCTGTAAGAAATTTTGTTTTTAATAATCATAATAATAATAATCGTTGGTCTCCAACGTAGGAGAACAACATTATTTGATTAATAACTGGTATTAGGACATATTGTTGGCCCACACGGTTAAGTATAGTGTTCCAGATTAAAGTGTGAGCAACCTTTTTACAAAATAATACTTTTTACAATATAATAAAGAAGTAATAAGCCTCTGTAGATATTATATTAATAACGTCCAGAGATTAAGCCACGGTATCATCATCATTATCATTAGACTACAGAGGTCCACAACTGGATCATCACCATCATCTTAGACCTTACAGCCTACATTGGGCTTTAGCCTGGTCCAGTATGTCTCTCCAAACTCTTCTTTACATGACTTTCTCCTTTCACTTTTTGACACCAATTAATTCCTTCGAAGGTCCTGCTTTACGCCATTTAAGCATCTGAGATTGGGCCTGCTACACCTTCCGTGCCCATCTGGTTTGCCTAATAGTAGTTGTTGAATTCTGGTCTACATTCTAACTACATCTCAGGAATTCAATTTTAATAGTTTTTTATATATCATACAACTCATGCCTATATCGCATCCTCAATAGATCGTTTTCGAACACAAGTAGTTGGATAACGGATACTCGGAACAAAATGTCTATAGGAACCAATCCCTCAACGCTATAGCAACGTTTATACGGTGTTTGAGTAAGTGGATTAATCATCAGGCGTCTGATGCAAAAGAATTTGAAGGATGTGGTGAAGTGTTGGTCCTGGTCCTCATGGTATATTTCAAGGTATTTATTTGCTTGTATTGTACCCTGTTTGCTTGTATTGTATTGTTATTTGTACCTCAAGGTATTTATTTGCTTGTCAAAAACTTGACCTTGTTATAATTTGTTTTCAGTACAAAGAGCACAGCAGTCAGTTTATAGTTTGGTTAGAAGATTTATGGCCTTTTATTTTTGTAAAATAAAATATTCAACTACCTTTTTTATATTTACGACCAAGATTATTACTTAGGCATATAGAGAAATTTTCGGACTGTGATTGATTTGTCAATATAAATGTAAGTCAATATAATTTAGTATGAATACTGGTTTCGAAACAGATGACCGTGTGTTTAAAGATTTAAAAACCATACACAAAAAATCGGAACTTATAAAAATAACCGGATACTCTGGATACAAATGGGCACACCGCACTTCCCTTTCTTTATTCGGCTCGAAGGACCAAAAAAGGTATGTATAATATGTCCAGGCTTCCCTTTTGCTATGTTAACGATAAGAAATCGGATGACTTGAGAGAATATTTACTGATAAACCTAAACTAACTGATAGATGATATGGTACAAATAATTTTATGCGAGTAGGCGATGACTTTTTGATAGCGGTATAAAAATTTAATACGAAAACACAATTTTTTTTATTTTGTATTCACTGATAGCCTCGAGGAGCTTTATTAATTTCTCTGGGTTGGTAAGCGAGTTAACAAAGCTTAGCCTGAGAGTATTTATACCTAGCTAGGCCTAATTAACTTCAGCTCTAAGCAGGGGAGCGCTTTGCTGAATATACCCCCGGAGCGAAATCGTGAACAACTGAATAGATCCGGGGAGATTCTCAATGGGTTGTGTCTATTGTTAAGTTTTAGCGCCGTTTGATCTCGCGTTTTTTTTTTTTTTTTTATTAATTCTTACGTTTCAAATACATTATTTTTTTCGTTGTGACGATTTAAGTTTTATTATACGAAAGAGGCAAACCGCTCTCCAAGCGAACGGTCCCTCCTCGTATTCCTATCCTTTAGTTTTAAGACTGATGTAAATAAAATATATAGCGTATGCGTGAGCCAGTTCATGTATGAACTGAGCCCTATTAATTTTACTCTTAGATCTTAGTTTAGATATATAGGTAAATAGCATCGCCAGAACTTGGCAGGCTATTGAATTGTAACGCTAATTATAAAAAATAAAGTTCATTCTATTCTATTCTATTCTATTAAGTTTTATTTGTCGACATTCTAGTACCGTGCGACCTATCGCACTATTGTCTCAGTCTCGTCTCGCGTTAAGCCGTAAATTGAATTTGAATATTTTAAAGCTTACGTCACCAATAAATTATTAGCAAAATATACAATTGACATATCTGCTAGGCCTATATAAGTGAATCAAGTAAATAACTGAGTTATTTGGAAACGGAAGTTCGGGTCCGGGTTATTTACTTCTTGCTATGATGGATTAACAAGCTCACGGCTCAGCTGGTGTTAAGTGTTTGCAGGAGTATATACGCCAACAGCGTAAATGCCGCCACATACCTAGAGATATGAGTTCCAAATCACGGATTTACAGTACAATGGCTACCCCATGCTTCAATCTGCAATGCATTACTGCTTTACGGCAATAGGTAGGTGGAGGTACTTACTCTTGCTGGCTCACGATAAGATACTACTCCAAAAATCTTAGGAAAACAATATTTGGCAGGTAGTTTTTGAGTTACACCTATTAATGCGTATATAATTGACTTAGATTACATTGTTGATACTCTTATTTTAATTAGTTGAAGTCGGGTTTCTTTTTTGGTAAAATGTTTGTATTATTGTCTCATCTAGTTATTTTACGTATTTTCAACAGCCTTTAATGACGTGACGCATAATCAGGTTTGTTCTATTGTAAGGTTTCAGACATTCATGTAAGTGTATAAAAACAATACAACGTAGAAATATTTGTTTAACGGTAATAAAAATGTATATTTACATAATGTTTTGTACAATAATGTTTTGATCATTAGTAATTTATATTATTCTGTGTTGTTATTTTGAAGTGGCAGTGAAATCTTTCACAATTTAAAAGGGAGTTCCCCTTTTTTTGTTCCTTACCTATTCGCTAGTACCCTAAGGCGCTATGCCAGGTACGCCCGGACGGATAGGCGAGCTCACGGGCCTCAAACTGAGAGAATTTGCTAACACTGGCCCTAGCAAGAGCAGTGCTTCGCAGAATCTACCACCGGATCGGAGTCGCGTCCCACTGAAAAGATCCATCGATAAGCTCAGTGGGCCGTGTCTATGGGTTAGTTCACTCGTCGAACTCTTCGTCATAATCGACGAGGACGGTGACCGGTGCTTGAGGGTCCTAAAAGCACCGAGAGTGAATCCGGGGGATCCGACAAAACATGTTTCGGGTGACGGCGGCTTTGCGTTGCCCCGTCGCGATCGGATATGGGTTAATTTTTTTTTTTAAATATTATAGTGATCCGAGACAAATCACACACGATAATCTAGCCCCAAACTAAAATTATGCACCAGAGACTGATATAAATATGATACTATATACGTTTGAATATATACATTGATAACGAAACACCCAGACAAAGAGCAAATAAATTTGTTCATTGCGCGAATATCTGCTCGATGTGGGACCCTCGTTCCAGCAGTCAAGGGCTTTACTATGAAAACGAGTTGATCACCCTAAAGTACCCCTATAAACACAACCGGCTGAGTTTCTCGCCGGCTCTTCTCAGCAGGTCGCGATTCCGATCCGGTTGTACCTCACAGCCCACCTGGTGTTAAATGGTTACTGGAGCCCATAGACATCCACAACGTAAATGCGCCACCCACCTTGAGATATAAGTTCTAAGGTCTCAGGTATAGTTACAACGGCTGCCCCACCCTTCAAACCGAAACGCATTACTACTTCACGGCAGAAATAGGCAGGGCGGTGGTACCCAACCGCGCGGACTCACAAGAGGTCCTACCACCAGTAATTAGACTAGTAGTAACCAGATTTAGTGAAGCACTACTCTTGCTAGGGTTCATGTTAGCAATTTTCTCAGTTTAAGCCCGTTAGTTCACCTACTGACCCTCAGTAGTTAGTATAGCTCCTTAGGCTGCCAAAGATTAGGTAGGGAAAAATACCAAAGATACCAGGTAAACAATTTTCTAAGAATAAATAGGGAATTGTAGAAAGATTTGACGAAAATGAAGCTGTAAAGAATAAGAGAAATTTAGGAAATTTATCTGTTTTATGTTAAGCGACAAAAACTATAAAATTTATTACGTGCTTAGTATTTTTACTCAGTTTACGAAAATTGAGGGTAAAGAAACTGTCAACATTATACAACATATATATAATATTATATTATATAACAAACATGGACGTTCTAAAGTACAAACTTCAGATCTTAGGACAACAAAGAAATATCAATTTAGATATGATTAACAATAAGGTCACGTTGCAGGGAATCACGAATCCACGTGTATATCGGATGACAACAGGAAACGAAAGGTCAGGGCAGGAATAAGATTACACTAACCGTGCGGAACATTGTCGGAACCGCGAAGTAATCGGGCGGTGAATCCACGGCTACAGCGAATGGCGCCGCGCTGATGTTGCGCAATGTGCGTAGCGCAGCGAGCGAAAGCGTCGCCGCCGCTGTCGTGGACAGCAGCGTCCGCGCGCTGTTGCCCGTGCACTCGTTCAACAGGTTCCATACACCACGCCAAGCACCCACACAACCCACCGCGGCCACGCACGTGCAACAACGCGACAGCGCGTAGTACGTCAACCGGCCGCGCTCTGGCTGCAGTAGCTTGGCCAACTCGGATTGTAACGCGCAAAACGTCAAGTCACAGAGAAGACCGAAACCAGCGCTGATGGCCGCACTAGCGATCGGATGCTCGGGTAGCACATACAAGTCCATAAGGATCCATGTTGATTTCCAGTAGGCGACTACGGCGGGCGCGACCACTGTTGCTGCGAAGAGGACGTCGGCGGCGGCGAGTAACGCGGCGTGGGCTCGGGAGCCGCCCGCGAGCGTGTCAGCGAGTCCAGCCGTGCTCCCGCGCATCTCTCACTGACTCACTAACAAGTGCGGCGTACTGCCTCCCGCGCCAACCAGCGCGACTCTAATTGTATTATCAGCGCGTCCCACCACCGGAGCCGCGTGTTTGCTCTCCGGGATCCGACCGCGATTACTACGATACCGACGGATCTCTGCTTAATCGACACCACAGTGTAAATAACTAGCGGTATGTACGTTTGTATCGAAAAATCACTCTTGTTTTTAAAACAGGTAAACCAATTTTGATTTGTTAACAGATACTGGTGATTTTTAGTGGTGGTAGGTGGTAGGTACCACTACCCTGCCTATTTCTGCCGTGAAGCAGTAATGCGTTTCGGTTTAGGGCAGCCGTTGTAACTATACTTGAGACCTTAGAACTCAAGGTGGCGTATTTACGTTGTAGCTGTCTACGGGCTCCAGTAACTACTTAACACCAGGTGGGCTGTGAGCTCGTCCACCCACCTAAACAATAAAAAAAATTAGAATATAGTATCGACAAACTTACAATCGTCTTGAATCTCGTAGTGAAGAGGTATGTCGCTTCCTTCCCGTCAGTGTACAGCAAAAAAGGTGAGGCGAGCATGTTGCGCGAAGACCGTAAGAGAACGGCAGAGAAGTAGAATATGAACGTGAGAACTGCTATCAGAACAGCCCTGAAAGTGAAGTTGATTTAATTAAAATAGTAAAATATTATTATATCATTGGAGTGTCTAATCTTTGATCCAATTGACTAAAGATTAGATACAGATATAGTATATACAAAGTATATACCATATTATACATATGTAATATACTAGCCGTACTCGCCCGCTTTGCTGGGCATTTAAAATTAACATTATTATTTATTGTCTTTATTATTAGGGAGCCCAACACTCATATAAATATTAGCCTATCCATTAAGTACATGTATTTTCTACAAGGATACCAAGTTTCAAGTCAATCGGATGCATGGTTCAGTAGTTATAACGGAACATCCGAAAAACCACTGTAGATTCATATATTAGTATAGAAATATATGTATGTAGTAGTAAGATACACGCAATACAGAGATTATATATATCTATATATATCTTCACTATAAATCCCGAAACGGCTAGATCAATTTCGATAAAATTCTCTGGAATTCTTTAGATTGGTCAATCCGATGATTTGAAAGCCAAGTAAATTGTTTTTTCGTAATTAGGTGACACTCAACAAATTCTACATACGCCCGCTCATGACCTATGCAAGTGTAGTGTTCGCTCATGCGGCCCGCACTGATTTGAAGCCCCTTCAAATCATTCAATCGCGTTTTTTGCAGAATAGCCGTCGGAGCACCGTGATTCATAAGAAATGTGGATCTTCATGATGAACTGGAGCTTGACTCCATCAGTAAGTATATTCAGTCGGCATCAGTGCGCTACCTTGAAAAGGCGACACGACACGAAAACCCTCTTGTCGTGGCCTCCGGAAATTACATTCTCGATCCTATGGACCGAATGGTAAATAGTGGACGTCGCCCTAAACACGTCATTACCGATCCTCTCGATCCATTAACGATGCTTTTAGGTACCTCAAGCACCGATCACCGTCCGTCACCGAACCCTTCGTCGCAAGCGATGGATTCAGCGAGTAAACTAACCCATAGACACAGCCCACTGAGTTTCTCGACGTGTCTTCTCACTGGGTCGCGTTTCCGGACCGGTGGTGCATTCTGCGAAGCACTGCTCTTGCTAGGGCCAGTGTTAGCAACACCTCCGGGTTTGAGCCTCAAGAGCTCACCTACATGCTAGGGTAACGGTGATATAGCCTCTCAAGGCTATCCGCATAGGTAGAAAAAAATTAGATTCGCCCAGCATGTGTTCCTATGAAGTTTGGTAGATTTCGGATCAAAGTCAAATCAAAGATCGGCCGGTTTTGCCTGAATACAAAAAGTAAGTTTCTGATTTTAAATTAAATCAATGATTTGTTTTTTTGCTATAATGTAACAAACATTCTTTGACAAGCATTTCTTAAAAAAAATACATTTCCTCTATGAATCACTACTTGTTAAAGACGTGAAAATAGCCTTATTATTCACTAACATTTATTGATTACAAAATTATTTCATATGCATTATATATATATTTCATATGCATAAATTCATTATGCAGCACTTGTTTGGTTGATGAAAAGAAGTAGTATTTATGAAGAAGAATTCTGTAGTTTGGTCTGCCCACTACTTAACACTTGTGACAGTTCTAGCCATCAGAGAAATAAAAATATATCTTACCTATCTATATGCATAGCTCAAGAATAATCCCAGCCTTCTGGAATATTTAGATATGTATAAAATTTTGTGAGCCCTAACATACGCTACATACAATATATACGTACATATACTATTGGTATTTATGAATATCACCTACCATTATAAACAAATTTATTATTTTTTCGTGCACACACATCACGTTGTTTGTAGATAATTAACCCCAAAGCATAGCAAGAATCGCCAACGAATGAACAGTCGTATTTGGGAGTTGAACATTTTCAACGTTTACCGAGACTGCTGAAGGTATCTTTTGCTATTCCGGCCTACTACCATTGCGCATTACTGACTGAGATGACACTTTTTTTTTTTATTGCCCTTGTAGGCAGACGAGCATACGGCCCACCTGATGGTGGTTACCGTCGTCCATGGACTTCAGCAATGCCAAGGGCAGAGCCAAGCCGCTGCCTGCCGCCTAATACTCTCCACAAGCCTCTTTTGACGAAGGATTGTCAGAAGATTTGTCAATGGAGCCAAGTAGAAAGCTATTCTTCCAGTCTGCGAAGAATGACGCATTATGTAGAGTCGTCTAGCCTAATCTCTCTTGTCACAAACTTAAAGAATGGTCCACTGGTCCTGCGAGCAAGTTTTGAAAGTTCATAACCTGACCGATCTACCCACGAGCACTCTTTGGCCAGCTATCAATGAACATTGTTGCTAGTATGCATTGGTCGTTTATCTCTTATCACATTATAAAGACAAACGCTCTGTTTCAACTAACCTATGAGGATCATCAGGATCAGGTATAACAGTGCTCATGAACATATCCAGTACGCCCCAACCGCCACGCCACATTGTGAGGTTGGACAACACGAAGATGTAAGTATATAATTTGGACAAAAGCCTTTCTCGTATCCACCGGAGTACGCCACCGTTTTCGCCACTCCAAGCGCCGGCAGATCGGGCCAGAAATGTAGCTCTGAAATTTTAAAAGGCTTCGTTACAAAAGAACATTTGAAATTCCCCTTTTCTTTCAATATTTCTGTATCGAATCATTGACTAGGAGATGGTCAGAGTATCTCAACTCATGTCTCCGGGATGGCAGTAGCATTTACGATATAGCGTCTATAGATTCGGCGAGGTGCTTTTAGCATCAGGAGGCTCGAAGCCCGTCGGCCTTGCTATTGGAAACGAAATGTAACGGTAACTTCACAAACGCTAACAATTTGCAATAAGAAACATCGCCCATGCTGGTTTAATTCCAAAGTAATAACAAATAATCCCCAATACTTCTACAATACGATCTCGCATTTATGCTATAATACCTACATTTTCTCGAACAGATCTGTCTGTAATAACGAAAACTGAAATGATTACAAATCAAATCAAATCAAAAAAGTTTTATTCAACATAAATGAAAGTAATACATACTTGTTGAACGTCAAAAAGAACTACTGCTAATTCACAAAAACTAGCCTCCGTCCTGAGAAGAACTGGCAAGAAACTCAGCGGGCGTATTATTATAATTTTTTTAATAAAAGATTTTTTTTAAATATTAATTTTTACAATGAGTATTGATTATAACGTAACAATTATTGCAATATTGAAATGGCCGGAGCGAGCAACACATTCCCACTTTGTGCAATCTTCTAGATAATCACTGGCTTTATTGCACAGATGTTCTTTAATAGTTTTCTTAAACCTATGTCTATGTAAGTTCTGAACATCTTGTGGGATTTTGTTGCACAGGCGCACAGACAAACACCCGAATGAATTTCGTATCTTATGTAACCTACTCATCGGCACAACGGCAAATTGATACCTGTCTACTAATACTCGTATGTATTTTCAATTGAATCAAAGGAAGCCTCTCCAAAAATATTGTTAAATAGTATAATTGTTAATATCTAATCATAATCTAATTAGATTTAGCATTTAGAATTTGCAAAAATAAAGCAAATGGTTTATTATCACACAATCTTCAGTCGCATCAGGCGTTTAAACTTTCTTGTTCCCTACCTATGCTGATAGTCTTGAGAGGCTATTTCAGCTTCGCTTTGACATGTAGGTGAGCACACGGGGCTCAAACCGGAAGTGCTTACACTTGTCCTAGCAATAGCAGTGCTTCGCAGAATCTACCACCGAATCGGAAACGCGACCCACTCAGAAGATCCGGCGAGAAACTGAATGGGCTGTGTCTATGGGTTAATTTACTCGTTGAGCCTTTCGTAGCAAGCGACGGATTCGGGAAGGTCGGTGACCGGTGCTCGAGATACCTAAAAACACCGTTAATGGGTCGGGAGGATCCGTAATGACGTGTTTAGGGCGACGTCGACTGTTTACCATTCGGTCTACAGAATCGGGTATGCGTCATAACTGGGAACCTTTGTGGGCTTATAATGAATGTAGTATAACAAAACCTGTTTTGTCTGAAGGTTTTCTATAATTGTATTGCATAGATGAAGCTCACAATCCCTTGATGATTATTGAAACATCGTAAATAAAATGCCACCTTGAAACATGAGGTGGAAATCTCAAGGAAGCCTGCACGCGACAGCTTCGCCGCTGTAACCGGGAGTATGCTAGGGAGTATATCCCCGTGTATTTCCAATAGCAGTGCTACATCTGCTATATATTTTACGAGACAGAAGAGACGAGCACAGGCTAGTCTGGGCCAAAACCATTGACCCAAGATAACTGTTAAGTTAACAAGTTAAGTGAATTCACGCCGTTAGCACATGCGACTTTGGAAGTCGTCGTGACCTAAAAGATAAGACGTCCGGTGCATTCGTATCAAGCGATGCACCGGTGTTCGAATCCCGCAGGCGGGTACCAATTTTTCTAATGAAATACGTACTTAACAAATGTTCACGACTGACTTCCACGGTGAAGGAATAACATCGTGTAATAAAAATCAAA